TTTCCTCCATTTTTTCCTCCATTTTTTCCTCCATTTTTTCCTCCATTTTTTCCTCCATTTTTTCCTCCATTTTTTCCTCCATTTTTTGTATATTTTAAAGGTTTACAATTGACCACCATAAATACAATTTCCCCTCTTTTCAGTGGGGAAATTACACATTATATAATCACTATATGTTATATAGTTATATGATAACTAGATGTTATTATATATAGTTATTATTTTATATATATTATATACTGAATATTATAAATATTCTCTTATAATATTAATATATTATTATATGTTACATTATGTTTTATTATGTTATGTTATATTATATCTATAATATTTTATTACATTATATCTATAACATTATGTTATATATTACATTATATATATTATAATATTATAAATATTATAAATATATTCTATATTTCTGGAGTTAAAACCAGGCATTCTCTTGGCAAAATTGGGCTTTTTTCCCTTTCCAAGGTGAGGATCATTTCCATAAGTGAAATTTCCCATTTTTTCCCCTCCCAGCTGGAAGATTTGGAGGTGACAGTGTCTGATCATCTCCAGAAAGTTTTAAAACCCAACTTTGCAGCTGCCTGGGAGGAGGTGGGAGATGATTTTGAGAAGGAAGAAACCTTTGCACTCAGTTCCATCAAAACCCTGGATGGTGAGATAATCCCTCACTTCTTGAGCTTTTATTTATATTTTAAATTTATTTATTTTATTTATTTATATTATTTGTTTTATTTATTTATTTTATTTATATAATTTATTTATTTAAATTTTATTTATTTATTTTTTAGATTTATTTTATTTATTTATTTTTTAATTTAGTATTTTGTTTATTTATTTAAAGTATTTTTAAAATTTATTTAATTTATTTATTTTATTTTTAAATTTTATTTATTTTAAGAATTTATTTTATTTTTTTAATTTAATATTTTGTTTATTTATTTTTTATTTTTTAAATGTATTTAATTTATTTATTTTATTTTTAAATTTTATTTATTTTTAAAATTTATTTATTTATTTTGAAAAATTATTTTATTTATTTTTAAATTAATATTTTATTTTATTTATTTTTATTTATTTTATTTTTTTATTTTATTTATTTATCTTTAAAATTTATTTTATTTTTAATTTAATATTTTTATTTACTTTTTTATTTTATTTATTTTTAAAAATTTATTTATTTATTTAGTTATTTATTTTTAATTTAATATTTTATTGTATTTTATTTTTTATTATTTTTTCTTTATTTTTTATATTTCATTTATTTTTTTTTTAGTTTAATAATTTGTTTATTTTATTTAATTTATTTATTTATTTTTATTTAGTGTAATAAATAATTACCTGGAATAATTTCATATTCTCCTTTCAATTTCCAAATGCAGAAGCTGTCAACAACATCATCAAGTTCCTGGGCATGCAGCCCTGTGAGAGGTCAGACAAAGTGCCAGAAAACAAAAATTCTCACACCCTCTATTTGGCTGGTGAGTGTTCCTGCTGCTCAATTCCCAATTTCCACATCCCCACTGATTTTTCTAAATGAAAAGTAATTATTTAGGAGATCTTGCTGTTATTTTGGGAATTTTTTCTCTGTACAAAGAGGATTTTTTTTTATCCTCTGAAATGTGTTGAATGCAGCTGGTCCTAACTCAGAGATTTCTGTCTTGGATGTGCTCAGGCCAAAGCTGTTGGAATGCGGGAATTCCACCCATGGGAATGTGGGAATTCCACCCGTGGGAATGGTGGAGAATCCCTGATTGGAGAATTTCCAGAGCAGTTAAATCCCTTTCCTGAGTTTGTCTGGGAGCTGCTTGTTCTCAAGTTCCTCAGTTGTCCTGCAGCACCCACAGATTCTTCCAGAATCATGGAATTGTTTAGGTTGGAAAAGCCCTCTCAGACCATTCCCAGCCATTCCCAGCACTGCCAAGGCCACCCCTGCCCCACCTTGTCCCCAAGTGTCACATCCACAGGGCTTGGAAATCCCTCCAGGAATGGGCACTTGCCCCTGCCCTGGGCATTTCCAGTGTCTGATCCCCCTTTCCATGGAGGAATTTTCCCTAAAATCCATCCTGAGCCTCCTCTGGCCCATCCTGAGGCCGTTCCCTCTCCTCCTGTCCCTGTTCCCTGGGATAAGATCCCAAATGCCCCCCGGCTGTCCCCTCCTGGCAGGGAGTTGTGCAGAGCCAGAAATTCCCCTGATCCCCCTTTTCTCCGGGCTGAGCCCCTTCCCATCTCCCTCAGGAATTCTCCAGCCCCTTCCCAGCTCCCTCAGGAATTCTCCAGCCCCTTCCCAGCTCCCTCAGGAATTCTCCAGCCCCTTCCCAGCTCCCTCAGGAATTCTCCAACCCCTTCCCAGCTCCGTTCCCTTCCCTGGACACGCTCCAGCTCCTCCAGGGCTCTCCTGAATTCCTGGAATTCCAGGCTGTCCCTCAGGAGAGGCTGTACCCATCATCCTCTTGCCCACCTGGCCACATCCCCCCCCTGCCACCACCACCCCCAGGACCTTTCCCAACTTTCCACCCCAGAGAATCCCACGGGGTCGCGATCCTGGCTGAGAAGGAAATCCCTGGTTCAGGACTGGATCCCTGGGAATCTCCAGAGTGACCTCTCCCTGTTCCTTCGTCCCAGGTGTGTACAGAGGTGGCTGTGACGTGCTGGTCAGGTCCAGGCTGGCCCTTGGGGATGGTGTGACCATGCAGGTGACGGTCAGGAGCAAGGACGAGACGTCCGTCGATGTCATCCTGGCTTCCGTGGGCTGAGAAATCCCTGGAATTCCTCCCTCCTTTTCTATTTTTTTTTTTTTTTTTTATTTTTTCCTGGCTGTCTTTTCTGCATGTTTAGTTTTTATTCCTGAATTTGGGAAATCTTTTGTATGGCATTAGTGACTGGCGCTGAGCCGTTCCCATGTCCCCTCCCTCGTCGTCACCGACACATTCCCACCTAACTTATGGAATCTCAACCAGGGAAGGGAAAAATGGAATCAGGTTTTTTTTTGTCAAAACTGCTTTTTATTAACAGAAAAATAAACACTGGTTCAAGTGGTGGAATTCATATGAATTGCTGTTAATAAAATAGAAATTTTATTTTTTTTTTGTTCTAATTCTGTCTGTTCCAGTACAGAAAAAAAAACAGCCCACAATGGCTGTTTATTAAACAAAAACCCCTTATTCCTAAAGGGATGCTATTAAATTCCCAACAATTAAAAACCACCCCAAACCTCCAAATTTGCAATATTTTTGTGACTGTCTCTTCTTCCACACAGAAAAATCAATGTGCAGCGAGAGATTAAACTCCATCTCTTGAGGCAGATTCAATTCTCTGAGCTTTATGTCAGGTAATAACCAAACCTCAGGGCAGCCTTTTCCTGGGTTCAAACTGGGGGAAAATCCCATCTGGAAAACCAGGAAAGGAGGGGGATGGAGGGAATTTTGTCAGGGAACTTCTGCCTCTCCCTGCTGGTTGTTTCTTCCCAAGTCAGGGCGACAAAGTAAGAAATTGTGATTTAATGTTAATTTAAACCTCTGCCTCTCTAAATAGAGTCAAGCTGGATAAAAAGGGGAGTGCAGGGCTGGAAGAGCTGCCAGCATCCTGCTTTTCCCCTCATTTTTCCAGCTCTCCGAGGATTTAACTCAGTTTATCAACCCAGGACGAGGCTGCGAGCGCCGTGTTGGATGTGGGAGAGAAAAATCCGTGTTTGTTTGTTTGTTTTCCTGCCCCCAAAGCCTGACTCTTTTGCTTAGAACGAAAACCGAGCTGCAGCAGCTCAGAAGGAGTTGATGAAGTTCAGGTAGGCATTGAGAAATCCCGTGGGATCCTCCAGCTGGGGGTAGTGGCTGATGTGATCATCCAGCACGGACACCGTGGACGTGGGAAGCACCTTCCTGGTGGGGAAAAAAACGGAGCGAGGATTAAGCACAGGAATTGCTGCAGCCAAGGGTTCTGCCACTTTTTTGGGATTTAAAAAAAAAAAGCCTGGAGCAGCTCCATCTGATCCTTTCCAAGTGCAGGTTAGTTTGGAGTGAGGAGGGAGACTTCCTCAGGAAACAAATCTTCCATGTGTGGATTTAAAACAGAGCACGGCATTGACCGAAAATCCTCGTTTTGGTGCCTAAAACGCAGAACCAACTTCCAAACTGCCTGTGCAGGTAAGAGTGTTAATTAACACTCTTTAATGTGTTAATTAAGCACAATGAGTGGGAATTAAAAACAGCTTCCACCAGGATGGAATTGGAGGAAGAGCTAGGAAAAATATCTGAGTGAAGCCCCGGTTGCACATTCCTGCTGGAGGCTGAGACACAGAGTGTGAGCCCTTGTCTCTGATGGCTGAGATCCAGGAGAACACTGAATTTCACACAACATGAAATTTATGGGCGTGTTTTCATGGTGATACATGAAAACAACTGTTAAAGATAGAAAAGCTGAAAGTGTGAGTGTGTAAATTAGAATTTCTTAAGTCACTGAGTGAAAAAGTTAGAGTTTAAACTAGTTTAAAAAATAGAAAACAAGATAGAAGGATTTAGAATGTTGTTTCTTTTCCTTCTTTCTTCATGTTCTCCTTTTAGAGGTTTTTGGGTAATAGCAGGTGATTGGATAAAAACGTCACAGTGCAGCACACAGGTGATGGGTCATTGGGTCATTAAGAAAAACAATTAACGTGTCTATTGTTAATTGGATAAAAATAAGTATAAAGATAAAAGAACTGCGTAGTTCAGGGCCACTTTGTGCCATCAGAGCCAAAGTGAGCCAAAGAGACAAGATGAATTAAACTTGTGCAGAAAGTCTGGAGAGACCTGCCAAGTTTTGTGAGAACATCCTAATTAACACAAGAGAAACAAGGTCCTAACGAGCTCTGGAGTTTTCTTCTGGCCCAGAGAACTGAGATAAACAGAACTCCCCATGAATATCCCCAAAGAGCTCAGCTCAGAGGAGACTGAGAAATCCAGGAGTGAAAAGAAGTGCAGCAGAATCAAGAGAAAGAAAAAAGAATTTTTTAAAGAAGTTAAAATTCCCACTTTTTGTCTTACTTGTAAAGCTGGAGGAACTCAGGGTGTGGATTCACAGGATCCAGGGGTCCGTAGATGAGATGCACTGCGAGGGAAGCACAGCCACAGCTTTCCTATCCATAAATTCATGGATTCCCTCATTAAAACTTCCCCAAGGAGACCTCCAGGAGTGTTCCCTCCTCACACAAAGCTCTGGAAGCTTCCAGTGGAGCCCTGAACAAACCATCTCCGCTCTGCCCCAGGGTCAAGTTCAGCCTCCAACCCCTGGGTTTGTTCTCAACTTTTTTTTGGGGCTCGGAAAAACTCCTCAACTTCCCTGGAGCAGCGCTTGGAAAAGCAGCTGTGAGCCAGGGCACGTTAGCTGGAAAACTGGATTTGAGCTCCGAAAAACCAGAGGTGGATGGAAGGAGCCGGCGCAATTCCCAAAAATCCCAGCAGGTCAAGGAATGGATTCCTACTCACGTGGGACCGAGGTAGACGTCAAAGCCCCAACCCAGCGCTCTCTGTGCTTCTTTCTCTGGTTTATGTACTGCAAAATACTGAAGGAAAAGTCGTCGTTACGCTGGGGATGCCGCCCAGCCTGGAATCTGGGCCACGGACACAAAATTCCAGGTGGGATCTGCGTCTCCCGTGGGAAAGCAGCACCGCACCGTCATCCCCAGGCTCAGCCACTCCCTTCTCCCACCGAGGGAAGGGGAGACACGGAACTGAGCTCAGCCACCAGCCCAAGATCCTTCTAAAAGCCACAGACTGGGAGAAACGTGTCCCTTCCGAAATTCCCAAGCTGAAGATTTGGGATTGGGACTTCTGGGAATGGTCCGGAAGGTTCAAATCTCTCCTGGGATGATGCTGGGGGGCATCTGCTCAAATATCTGTCACAGGTTGAACTCAAATCATTACCAAACCCCCCCAAATCCAAGCCTTTCCAATGAAAAAATCATCTCAGATCCAACTCCAACCTTCATTTCCCTGCCTCGTGTCATCCCAGAGAATCCCTGCTCCAACATTGCCCCCCAGCTCCTTTTTTTTGGGATGTAGTGTTGATCCCAGACTCCAAAAGAAGCAGCTGGAAAGTTCTGGAGAAGCCTGGCTGAGCTCTGGGAACCTTGGAGCCGCTGTGACACAAAGCTGATGCGGGAATTGGTGCTGAGGTACCTGTCCATAACGAGATTCCCATCGTTATTCTGCACCGCCGTCCACATATCCCAGAATTCCGCCTGGGAGGGCTGCGTGTAGGGCCCGAAAACTGCCCTGAGCCTGGGAAAAAAATGGGATTTGGAGAGACAAATTCTAGTGTCAGGGAACCACTCAAAAACTCAAAAAACCAGAGGTGGAAAAAATTCCAGCTCTTCCAGTTTCCACAGCAAAACTCTGAGCGTTGAGATGTCCCCGGGATAAGTTGGGATAAATGTTGGATGGCCTCAAAAGGCTTTTTTTTGGGGGAAAAAACATTTTTAACACTGCTAAAAATAGAAAAATCTGATGGTGCAGGGGTCATTTGTGGGAAGAGGAGGATTTCAGTGTCCAGGGAAAAGTTTGGTTTGTTGTTAAAGTGAAGTGCTGGGCCAGCGTGGAGAGGGAATGGTCCAGAGGTCAATCCCAGCTCTCCGGAGACAGCGCCAGGGAATCTGCTCCGGAATCACGGAACGGTTTGGAATTTAAGGGAGTTAAATTATTTATTTAATTATAAATTAAAGGGAATTAAAGAATGCCCTCCCCACCCATCACCAGGGACACCTCTCCCACTATCCCACGGTGCTCCAGCTCGGCCTTGGACTTTTCCAGGGATCCAGGGGCAGCCACAGCTTCTCTGGGAATTCCACTCCGCGGTCTCTTCACCCTCCCAGCCAAGAATTCCTTTCCAATTCCTGCATTTCCCCTTTCCCCACTTGGTTCACATCCTCAGGGATTGTGCCCAGTGCCCCTGAGAGCTGGCTCACCCTCCAGAGAAGAAGAAGAAGTTCATGAGCCGCAGGATGACGGGGGACAGCAGCCCCCCATCCACGAGGAGCTTTGGGAAGAAAGGAGAGAGCACAACTCGGCATCGGCCACCTGGATAAATCCACGGAGAGCTTTTCCCATCTCTCCCAGCCCAGGCCCTCGAGGAGGGGTGCGACAGCAGCGATGATCCGAGGGGCATTTATTTGGGATTTTGGGATGGAGCAGGACGAGAGCAGCTCACCTTCTGGATGAAGCGGGGGTAGTGCGTTTCGGGAAAAATCCCTGGAAGGGATCAGAGAACGGAGCTGGGACGCTGGCAGCGCTCCGCTCCACCTCTCCCACTTTGTCCCCCTGCACGGAGCCACGGAAGCGGCCCAGGGAGACCAGGATTGGTGCTCCTGGTTAATTACAGCGCCTTGATTGCAGTCCGTGGGATTGGGGATGATGGAGATGGGAAGGCCAACCCATCCTGTGGATCTCCATCCCATGGGTTCCCATCCCGTGGGTTCCTATCCCACAAATCCCCATCCCGTGGATCCCACAGCTCCCCATCCCATGAATCCCGTGGATCCCACAGATCCTGTGGATCCCCATCGCATGGATCCCCATCCTGTGGATCCCCATCCTGTGGATCCCCCAGATCCCGTGGATCCCCCATATCCCCCAGATCCCCATCCCAGAGATCCCCATCCCACAAACACCCATCCCACCGATCTCCATCCCATTGATCCCCATCCCACTGATCCCCATCCCGTGGATCCCACAGATCCTGTGGATCCCCATCCCACGGGTCCCACAGATCCCATGGATCCCCATCCCATGAACACCCATCCCATGGATCTCCATCCTACTGATCCCCATCTCACAGATCCCCATCCCACAAACACCCATCTCATTGATCCCCATCCCGTGGATCCCACAGATCCCGTGGATCCCCATCCCATTGATCCCCATCCCGTGGATCCCCCCAGATCCTGTGGATCCCCATCCCATGGATCCCCTGGATCCCCCCCTGCCCCGGTGGATCCTCACCTCCGTTGGACAAGCAGAGGCTGTTGATCAGGATGCTCCCGGTTTTATTGTGCTCATACCTGGGGACAGCAGAGCAGAAGGTGAAACCCAACCAAACCTCCACCAGCTCCCAGGAACGACCCGGCACGAGCTCCGATTGTGGCGGATCATCTCCGTCTCCTTGGGAAATTCGGGAATTGGGACGGACGAGACGCCTGAGGCGGCGGGAAAAGGGGGGAATTCTGCGCCACATCCTTCCACTTATCTGCTGGAAATCATCTTGGAGGGAATAGGAGAGGGCAGGAGGGGCGGCAGGGACCTGTGGAGCAGCTCCTGGGCCACCGTGTCCCCGTAATCGTGGGACAGGAGGTTGATCCTCTGGTGCCGGAGCCCGAGGTGGCGCAGCAGCCCCTCCACGATGGTGGCCTGCTCGAAGATGGAGTAGCCGTGGGGTCTCTGCCAAAAAACGGGAGAGGGGTCCCGGTGAGAGCCGGAGGCAGCAGATATTCCAGGATGAATATCCCATAATCGCTTTCCATGTCTTCAGAACTCCCCCATTCCCAGAAGCCCAAAACTCCCCCATTCCCAGAATCCCAAAACTTCCCCATTGCCAGAATCCCTTTCCATGCCCCCAAAACTCCCGCCATTCCCAGAATCCCAAAACTCCCCCATTCCCAGAACCCCAAAACTTCCCCATTCCCATAATCCCTTTCCACGTCCCCAAAAGTCCCCCCATTCCCATAATCCCTTTCCACATACCCAAAACTCCCACATTCCCAGAATCCCAAAACTCCCCAATTCCCAGAACATCCATGTCCCCAAAGCTCCCCCCATTCCCAGAATCCCAAAACTCCCCCATTCCCAGAATCCCTTTCCATGTCCTCAAAACTCCTTCATTTCCAAACCCAAATTCCATGTCCCCAAAACTCCCCCATTCCTGTAATCCCTTTCCATGCCCCCAAAACTCCCCCCATTCCCAGAATCCCAAAACTTCCCCATTCCCAGAATCCCAAAACTCCCCCATTCCCAGAACCTCCACATCCCCAGCAGCTCCAGCCAAGTTTGGGCTCTGAGGAAATGTGGAAACACGGGATAAGGAAAGCAGCAGCTCGCTCCCGCGGCCTCAGCGCTCAGGATGTCCCGTGGAGGCCGCCTGAGCGTTCTCCACACTCCAAAGGGCTCCAGGTGCGTTTTGGAGTCCCACCAAACCCAGGTCCACCACAACCCTTCCACTTCCTTATCCCTTTTCCAGAGGGAAATCCAAGGAAAAACTTTTGGATGGCAAAAACCGATTTTCCGGAGCGCTGTGCCGAAAGCAGCTGGGACAATCCTGGTGGCGGGGTACTCACGGGCTTGTCGCTGAATCCAAATCCGAGGAAATCCAGGGCAATCACCCGGTGGAAGCGCTGGGTCAGCCCTTCCCAGATCTGGGAAGAGGAGAAACATGTTGGAAAAGCATCCGGTGGGAGCAGAGGATGGGAAACGGCTGCAGGATGGACGTGCTCCTCGCCACCGTGCCAGGAGAACACCCCAGCTCCAAGGAAACAGCGGGAGGTCAAAATTTCCCAAGATCCCCCAGAAAAAGCCGAGGAATTTTTGTGGGATGAGGAAAAAGCTCGGATTTCACACTGGGAGAGGGACACAGTGACTCCAGGAGAAATCAGGAATTCTCCTCTGGAGCTTCCCACCCCTGCTCTGCTGCCTGCTCATTCCCAGGAGCCGAAAATCCTGGGATTTGCTGTCAGATTCCCACGCTCTCACCTTGCTCCAGTCGTAGCTGGACGTCGGGAAGCCGTGCAGGAGCACCACGACATCGGAGCTGCCGACGGCGCCGCTGGAATCTGCGGGGAGAAGAACGGGACACCTCCGAGTCAGCTCTTCCCAAAATTCCTCCCTTCTAGGATGGGAATTGCTGCTCATCCCCTTGGGAATCCGCCTGTCCCTCTGCTCCCCAAAACCCGGGATGGGTTTGATTCCCACTGCAGCTTCCCTTGGGAAACCTCACCGGCTCCGTGATCAATCCAGGGATTTAATTAGCTCAAATTAATTCCAGCAGCCTCTGCGCTGCTGCTAAAAGGGTTTCCAGTGTCTTTTCCGTGTCGGAATCTATCGGAGGCTCTTGGGATCCTTCCCAACTTTCCCCGGTGGAACGTTCTCACCCATCCCTGCCCAGTCCAGAAGGGCAAAAACCAGGATTTGTCCCCACCCTGCCCAGTTTTCGGAATGTCCCCGTGGCCATCGCGGGACGGCTCCGTCACCTCTGTAGAAGACGTTCAGGTCCTTGTAGGTGAAGAAGCTTCCGGAAGATTTCCAGGAGCGGAGTGCCGGGGAAGGCTGCGGGGGCGGGATGTGCAGGTAGACGGCGAGGAGGGGCACGCCCAGCAGCCCCACCTGCAGCCACCACTCCTTCATCCTGCGGGACACGGCCGGGAGTCACTCCGCAATTCCCACATTCCCACAGGGCTCCCACAGAACGCAGCTCCGTGTCCCCAAAATTTCCCCATGTCCAGAAACCCAAAACTCCCCCATTCCCAGAACCCCAAAACTCCCCCATTCCCAGAATCCCAAAACTCCCCCATTCCCATAACCTCCATGTCCCCAAAGCTTCCCCAATTCCAGAACCCCTAAACTCCCCCATTCCCAGAACCCCAAAACTTTCCCATTTCCAGAATCCCAAAATTCCCCCATTCCCAGAACCTCCATGTCCCCAAAACTCCCCCATGCCCAGAACCCCAAAACTTTCCCATTTCCAGAATCCCAAAATTCCCCCATTCCCAGAACCTCCATGTCCCCAAAATCCCCTCACTCCCAAAACCCCTTTCCATGTCCCCAAAGCTTCCCCATTCCCAGAACCCCAAAGCTTCCCCATTTCCAGAACCCCTAAACTCCCCCAATTCCAGAATCCCAAAACTCCCCCATTCCCAGAACCCCAAAACTCCCCCATTCCCAGAACCTCCATGTCCCCAGGATGGCAGGTCCAGCAAAGTTTGGGATCTGAGAGGGAACCTCAGTCTCATTTGGGGTCTGAGGGGGATTGTGGGGCCATTTGGGGTTTGAGGGGGAACACTGGGGAGCCTGAGGGGGGTTATGGGGTCATTGGGAGGCCTGAGGGCGGTTATGGGGTCACTGGGGGGGCTGAGGGGGTTATGGGGTCACTGGGGG